TACTGTCATAAAAAACATGTCCAAAGCCTTGCTCTGACTCATTCATGCATGTTTGAGAAATCCTGCAGTGTTTTTATGAAGCCATGCAGAGGAGCAAAACAACAGGTGGGGACCAGAAACACTTTTTGGGACTAGAAACACTTTTTGGGACTAGAAACACTTTTTGGGACCAGAAACACCTCTGGGACATGTCTTTAAGCTGAACTTCCTCAAGCAGAGCGCACCCACTCCCCGCTCCTCACACCCCGCCCATGACTCCTGCAGGCTCTCAGGTGAAAGTGAAAGTGAAACCTAACTGTCTGCTGAGCTCTCAACATTAGTTTTCACTCAGTGAAGCTCTTTTCAGATTAAAAATACCTTTGAGGAAATGTATTTTCAGATGCCAAGTAAACTGCATCATGGCAGACCCCCTGTCCCCCGCGAGCCACCCCCAGCCCTTCTGTTCCTAGAAGATAAATAAGCAAATAAACTGTCTTATAAATGAAGTTTTCATTTTGATTTGAGAAAGCTTCCTGGACAGGAAGTGAAACATCTTCAGCTTCAGAATAAAAGCCCACTTATTTTGCTTTCCAACAAGTTTCAGTGAAGAAAGATTTAGCATTTCCCTTTTTTTGTATTTAGTAAAAAACTTGAACTCGTTTTAATCTGAGGGAGATCAGAGTCCTTAGTGAGACAATGAAATGTAAAATAAAAACAGGACTGAGAAGATGATGAAAAAGCTGTAAACTTGCTGCACGAGGCTGATCGTCACCACGTGAGACCACCCGTTCATTCACACACCGTCAAAACTTCCTGCTTCCATCTATCAGAGTGACAACAGAGGCTTCCTCAGAGGCGGCCATTTGTCAATCTGCTCTCATCCAATCATCACTCAGATAACCCCAGAGACCCGCCCACCAAGCTCCACACAGCTGCTTGTGCAAAAAAAAAAAAAAAACAAGCCTACATGCGTCTCACAATCATCATGTCACACACTGAGGCGACTGCATCCTCCCTCACACACAAACATCCACGGCCCTCGCGCCTTTGTTCCCCTCCACTCGCTGCTGCTTCTGCCGAGAAATCCACCACCGTGGTGACGGTAACCGCGACAACGGGCATAAATTAGCGTCACGCAATATGCAAAGCGAGGGAGCAACAATTAAAGCTTGACTAACGAGCTTTTGAGGAGTGAGGCTGAAGTTTCCCCGAGCAGCTGCTAGCTGGATTAGCTCACACGCATGCACGCACGCACGCACGCACGCACGCACACACACACACACACACACACGCACACACATTTGTTCTTGAACCCCGTGGGGACCTTCCATTGACTTCAATTCATTTTTTTAGACTTTATATCCTAACCCTGACCATTTACACTAAAATTAACCTCACAGGTACTAAAACTAACCTAAACCTCTGTCCTAAACCAAACCCCCAACCAAAACCGGCCTCCAAAGTTGTGGGGACCAGGCTTCAGTTCCCACAATGAGCATCCAGTCCCCACAAGGCTGCATTTTCCTGAAAAATCGTCCCCACCAAGTAGCAAACACAAGGGTATACACACACACACACACACACACACACTGAAACACAGAGGGAAAGGACGGAGCTGACAGATTTTTAACCATCACCTGTGAGACAAAACACAGATTTGCTTAAACAGAACGGACATGTTTGTTGGTCCCTGAAGCGATGGTTAATCTTTGAGTTATAGTCGTGTTTCAAACTAAGACTTTGACCTTAATTAGTATCACAGGAGCCTCCCAGCTTCTCATCAGCCATCCAGCCTATTTAAAGGGAACAAACAGCCACTGGGTGGTTCGCTGTGACTGCGTGCACAACACAGCAACGCTGAGAGCTCTGAAAGAAGATCACACATTTCCATGTTGAAAGTTAAAAACCACCAGATCATCTGCAAACAGCTTCATGTTCCTCTGATCAAGATTATTAAGAAGCACAGAGTTTGTGGGACTGTAGCCAGCTGTCCCAACGCATTCTCATGCCCCCAGCGTCAACATATTGATGCTTGGTCAGGTAGCCATCCACATCAACTTTCGGACACGCCAGGGTAGCCCCCGCGCGTCTGTTCTTTACGAGATGAGGTGGAGGAGGACGAGCGCATTGTCATATTTTTACAAGAGCAGGAAATGCACGAAACTAACCATCCCAGACTCTAGATTTAACTTCTATTAGCCTTATACAGCCTATCCATGACCATAGACCCTAAAATCAACCATTAACCCTGATCCCTCATATTAACATTTTTTAAATGTAGAGAATGCGCAAGAATTAACCATCCCAGACCCTAAATTTAACCTGTATTAGCTATACACAGCCTATCCCTGACCACAGTATCTCAAATTAACCATTAATCCTGACCCCTCACGTTAACCTCAGACCCCCGACCCAAAGACCCCTAAGTGACGCAACCCGGAAAAGCCACGGGTGGCAAGGACGGACGTGCGGGGGGTACCCGACGCATCAAAACTGGACGCAGACAGTCCCTGTCCAAGCGTCAATATGTTGACGAGTCCGACATGAGAATGTGTTAGCTGTCCAGGACATGGACGCAATARATGATGCAACCCCAGGTTGATCAGGATAAAACGAATGGTAGAAAAAGACCTAATAACCATCTCAAAMCATTAAAGTTGAACTCCAAAACCAAAACGGATCGCTTTCTAAATGAGAGGATCCACTGCTGACAGGAAAACAGAGATTCTGGATCTGATGAGACAAAACTGGAGCTTTTTCATCACAGCAACTGTCAACTTGATTATAGGGAAATGGTACCAACAAGTCCGGAGAAAAAACTTGAYCTCACTAAAGCAGAAGCTCTACTGACCAAAGACAAAAACTACCAGAGACTTAAAATTAAAAAGACAAATCAAGATGTTCAAACKGACACATTTTATTAAGATTAAATGCAGCTCTCTTTGTCACATCGACCATTTTTGAGWTTTCTAACCTTGACCTGAGGAGGAATTGTACTACTCTGGGTCTACAGCGTGTTATAATTAATCACTGCAACATAAAATCCTTATTATTAAAGAAGTCAAGCATTCAACCTAACCTGGTGCACCTCTGTAATTCACTTCCCAGATATAGATTTGAGGGATTTACGAGACGGCAGAAAAACTCATGCGGTAACATTTAGAGAAACCTGGTGATTTGTGTGCATAATTAAAATAATTTACTAAAAACTGACTTTCATATTCTGTCAATCACAGGTAGAAGAGAGACGCTCTGCTTTGGTCGTTTCTGCTTCTTCTAGAGGCTTGATTTTGTTTTCGATGTCTTCACTCAACAATAAATCTCCCGATTCCTGCAGTTGCCTTTATTTTTCCTCTCCGCACAAGACTCTCCTCTCTTTTCCAGGTCTCTGCTGCTCCTTCAAATAAATCTCTCCTCCCTCCTGTTATACTCCCCACCACCACCTCCCTAAATCTATGAAACACACTCAAACAAACATGTGCACACAAACACACAGCCCTCCAGGCAGCAGCAGCCACAAAGGCCTTATATTAATAAATCTGCTCCTTTATTGGTGCTGAGTGTCTGTGGCAGAGAGGAGAGGAGGGGGAGGAGGAGGAACAGGACAGGAGACGCAGAGATCACCAGAGGGGGAGGAGGAGGTGACTGACTGTAGCCATATCATCAGCAGAAGAGAGAGAGAGAGAGAGAGAGAGAGAGAGACAGGAACGATAAAGAGAAGCAAGGCAGAGACTCTAACAAACAGAAGCAGCTTGAAGACGACGAGCAACAGGAGTGTGGTTTCTCTTGTGTGGCTGTTATTAAGGTACAGTCCACCCACATCGTTACACCCTCCGCTCTGAGCATTATTACAAACACCTGACACCTGGCTGAACCAGCGGAGCGTGCAGAGTRGGCTGCACCAGTCGCTGGGAAACAAACTGCCTGAGGTGGGCTTTGGGTAATGACAGCGGCTAGCTGGGCTTTGCGGTCCAATCTCAGCCATCAGTCAGCTGTGACAGATTGGGGATATGAGCTAAGGAGCTGTTTAGCTTTGGTGCTTGCCTGGCGTGTGAGTGCTCGAGCCTGTGTGTCTGGGGTGGGGTGGGGGTGGGGGGCATCAGTGCTGCTAGTGTTGCAGAGGCATCAATACGCTCTCGACAGGCCATTTTCCTATGCCTATTCCCAGACTTGGCTTGTTGCTGGGGCAACTACCGCCATTTTACCTTCTCTGGTTGCACAACCATCCTTCTGAAGCGTTTTACAAGCCGATGACCCAACTTCCTATTTTTTCTTTTAAAACTAAACGGCTCCTGGATTATTTGTGTGTAAGTTAGAGGCAAAGCTTGTTGTTGCACATTAAACATTAAACAGAATGTGATGAGAAAAAGATCTCATCTCAAATAGACGATGGAGGAGGTCTGTAAACGGTTCTGCTGGTTTAAGAGTTTTTGTGCCAAATTACTGACCTAATACCATATATATATACATCCATCTTTTTATCCATCCATCCATCCATCCATCCATCTCTTTATACATCATCCATCTTTTTATCCATCCATCCATCCATCCATCCATCCATCCATCCATCCATCTCTTTATACATCATCCATCTTTTTATCCATCCATCCATCCATCCATCCATCCATCCATCCATCCATCCATCATCTTTTTATCCATCCATCCATCCATCCATCCATCCATCCATCCATCCATTTATCCATCCATTTATCCATCCATCCATCCATTTATCCATCCATCATCTTTTTATCCATCCATCCATCCATCCATCCATCATCTGTTTATCCATCCATCCACCTGTCCGTCCGTCCGTCTGTCCGTCCATCTACCCTTACAGCGAACCCCAGAGAACACAGCTATATGTCTTCTTTGGTTGAGCAACTTTTTGAATTTTAGGCTTCAGAATCAAAACTCAAACTAGAACCAACAGAGGACACAAAACTTCCAGCTGAACCAACTACAACCCAGCTCCAGCAGCTGCAGAACRAAAGCATTAATAAGACGATGAAGAGCACCCTTACCTGTCCGTGGGACTGCATGGCGCCGTAGGGTAGGTTCTGGTTCAACACTTTCTGCTTCATCATCAACATCCTCTTTTGTTCTTCCCCCAGGTGGGCTGTCTGTCCTGGGATGGGCCCCCCCGTCTGTCCCGGCCCGGCTCCCTGCCCGCCACCTCCTGCGCCACCCATAAAGGGCGTCATCATGGGGTTCTTGACCTGACCGTTCCCTCCCATGGGCGGAGTCATCCTCTGACTCATGTGGTCCACGCCGCCGCCACTGAAGTGACTCAGCGGTTTGGTGTTGTTGTACGACAGCATGGTGGCGGTCTGCTGCTGCTGTTTGGACATGGCGTTCTGGCTTATGCTGTTTGGCTGCTGCTGGCCCATCATGCCGATGTGGTTGTGAGGGAGGTAGTTGTTCATGGGGGCCTGCGGCGTGTTAAAGGCTTGCGGCGGGTACATCATCGGGCTGTTGGGTTTGTCTTGGTTAAAGGGACCGGAGTTGTAGGGGCTTGTTGGGGCCCCTGCAGGGGACCAGTTAGCTGCTTGTTTCTGCTGCTTCTGCTGCAACATTTTAGCGTGAGCGTGGTGCTGGGCCATCGCCTTGAGCTGCTCCGCTTTAGAAAGTTCGGGTGTGACTGGACCTAAAGGCTGCCCCCCGGGGCCGCCGCCACCCRCCCCTCCGCCCCCTCCCGTCCCCGTCTGACCCACCGGACCGCCCGGGTTCATCATGTATCCGTTCCCAGGCCTGGAGACGGCTTGCGTCTGGGCCTGGGTCGGGGTCTGAGGAGACCGGGCGACACAGTTGTGTAGCGGGGAACCTGATGGCATGGCCACGGCTGGAGACTGCTGCAGGGGCTGCTGAGGGGGGGTTCCGTTGGCAGTGGTTGCAAACTGAGGGCCGGAGGATGAAGGTCGAACCTGAGAGGAACAGTTACAAATAAAAAGGTACGAACAATTATTATTGATAAAACTAGGGATGCACGATATATCGGCATAAATATCGGTATCGGCCGATATTGGTCATTTCTTAGAATGTCGGTATCGCTTCGATATGTAAAACTGGGCCGATATTAATGTCCGATACTGATTTCCCACTTTTTWGTTTTGTGTTTCTGTTTTGGGAGGAGAAACGGTTGGTTGAGCAGCATTTGTTTTATCATGATAGTGMTATTGACACTGCAGCCAGGAATAACTGAAGTAGGGAGCCATGTCAGAGGTTTGGTCTTTTATTTACAGTATCAAAAAAAGACCAAAGTGTGTTTGTGCGTATATGTATAATATAATTTGTGTGTTTGTGTAATATCAGTAAATATCGGTTATCGGCCATAACAGCAATAATTATATTGGATATTGATATTGGCTAAAATTTTCATATCGGTGCATCCCTAAACAAAACAGTTCAACTTAACTTCAGACCTTTCTCAGGTTTAGCATAAAATCTAAAAATAATCATTTTCCTGCAAGGTTTTGTACCATTTTGTCTGTTGTGTGACCAGTTTTCAACTAAATCCTGTGCTCAGACCAAACCCAGAACCACTCAATAAAAGGATATTTGTATTAATTGACAAATCTCTGTGAATTACAAAGAAAATAAATTTAAAAAAACAACATACTTACATTTTATCATGACTGTATTTGTGACTTGATAATTGGAAACAGATTCCAAAGATCTTTTCATTTAGATCCAAACTAAACGGAACTAGGGATGCACGATACATAGGTATTGACTTCGATATTGGCCGATATTGGTCATTTTTTAGAATATCGGTATCGGTTTGATACTGGGCCGATATTAACATCTGATATTGATTTCTCACTATTTAGCTTTGTGTTTCTGTTTTGGGAGGGGAGATGGTTGTGTTGAGCAGCATCTGTTTGATCATGATATTGATGCTGCGCAGCCAGGAATAACAAAAGTAGGGAGCCATGTCAGAGGCCTGGTCTTTTATTTACAGTATCAATAAAAGACCAGTGTGTTTGTGCGTATATGTATAATATAATTTGTGTGTTTGTGTAATATCAGTAAATATCGGTTATMGACCATAACAGCAATAATTATATTGGATATCGATATTGGCTGAAATTTTCATATCGGTGCATCCCTAAACAAAACAATTTAACTTAACTTCAGACCTTTCTCAGGTTTAGCATAAACTCTGCCATCAACCAACCCAAAATAATCTTTTTCCTGCAAGGTTTGGTACCATTTTGTCAGTTGTGTGACCAGTTTTTAACTAAATCTTGTGCTCAGACCAAACCCAGAACCACTCAACAAAAGCATAATTGTATTAATTGACAAATCTCTGTGCGTTATAAAGGAAAAAAAACACAAAATAMTTACATTTTATCATGACTGTATTTGGGACCTGATGATTGGAAATAGATTCCAAAAACAAATCTTTTCATTTTGAATCAATCTATATGGAACTATAATCCTGCTGTGAATTCTAAATTTAGTATAATAT